GGGGGCAGGGGGCAAGCAGGGCCCAAGGCCTGGGCTCTTTGCTGCCTGCACTGGCCTGCCACCTGTTCTGAACCTCCAACAGGTCCCATGCCTCTCCACACCCGTGTCCTCCTCCAACCTCATTCACAGGTGTTTGCTGCTGCCCTGCTCTGGGTGAGGGGCTGTAGGGCCAGGTCCTTGTCTTTTTGGCTCTGCTGGCAGGGAAAAGAAATGGGTACTGTTCGCCGGCCATGTGCCGGGTGCTGCTCCAGGGGCTGGGCGGTCAGCAGTGAAGAGGACAGCTCACGCCCGGCCCTCCTGGGAGGGACGTTCTAGCAGGGACCTCAGAACCACAGTCGCTGCTCAGCAGAGGGGCCTCCCTAGGCACAAAGCTGTGGTGTCACTCCCCTGGCCGCCCCCTGGATTAGGGGGCATGGGGAGAGGCTGGAAGCGGGGGCAGAAACAGTCTCTTGGGCCTGGGCTTCCATTCTATGCAGTGAGAGGGGTGGGACTGGTGGTCTCAGTGGGCCCTCTCAGCCCTAATGGTCTGCGTCCCCTGATAGCTCATGGGGTCCCCAAGGGCCAGCAGGAGCAGGGGGAGTCCCTAGAGGACAGGACCAGGGACGGTGAATCCCTGTGCCCAGCGTGGAAGAGACCTGGACTGGGCACACAGGGCAGGAGGGGACTTAATGCCCAACATCTACCCGAGACCCTGGCAGGCAGGAGCCAGGATGCGGAGGGGTGAGGGAGGGAGAGAGGGAGAGAGGGGGATGGGGCCCCAAGGCTGCTCCCACCAGGCCGGTTCTAGGACTGTCCTTTTCTGCCCTTCCCTTTGCCCAGCCAAGCCACCGGGAGTGCTGTGATGCCTGGGCCTGGCCACCACCCCTCCCTGGGCCTCCAAGAAGAAGCGGAGAATGAGGAGGGAGCAGCAGAAGGAAGAAGAGCAGGAAGAGGACAGGAAAGGCTCTGACCCAGGGGGCACCTGCCAGTTTAAAGAGGACACTCACGGACATAGCCCAAGCAGGAGAAAGAGTGAACAGAGGACAGAAGGGACAACAGATGGACCCACTGGGGTGGAGGGGGACAAGGTGAGGTGTGTGGGAGTGGGAGGGACAAAGGGGCTTGGGTGGGGAAATGTTGAGACAGAGGGGGATGGAGGTGAAGAGTCAGAGAGGAGTGGGGAGGGATGGGGGTCAGAGAAGGAAGACAGAGAGGACAGAGGGAGACAGAGGAGAGAGGGACAGGGAGGGAGGAGAAGGTACTGGGAGGCAGGGGAGGGACAGGGAGCGAGGAGCAGGGAGGGACAGGAAGAGAGGGATGAGGGGGACAGGGAGAGAGGAGAAGGGGGCTGGACAGGGAGGTGGGGGATGGACAGGGAGAGAGGAGAGGGTGGGAGGGACAGAGAGAGGTCGGGGGAGGGACAGAGAGAGGTGGGGGGAGGGACAGAGAGAGGTGGGGGGAGGGACAGATAGAGGTGGGGGGAGGGACAGAGAGAGGGGGGGGGAGGGGGAGAGAGGAGAGGAGTGAGGGGCAGGGAGAAAGGGAGGACGGGGACCAGAACGGGACGGGGAGGGGCGACAGGAGAGGGACAGAAAGAGAGGGCCCTGGTCCCTCATAGAGACGGAGAGATGAAGGCTTCAGGGTGCGGTTGCTGGACCAATCTAACTTGAACTTGACAGAGGCCAGGACTGGGCAGGAGTGGGGTTGGCCTAGAGTGGCTGGGCTGGAAGGACGCCATGGTCTGCTGTCTGTCCTGGGTCCTGACCCTATGCCCTGGTTCGGACTCGGGGACCCCTGGGCAGACTCAGCCCCTTTGCTCTATAGACCCTGTGGGGTCCCGGGCTGTGTCTCCCACAAGGCGCTCCCTAGGCCCGGTGAGCAACCTCAGCCCTCCACCTAACCCCACCAGCCCTCCCTGTGTGACGGTGAGTCACAGCTCCTTGCCAATGGTGGGTCTGGGGGTAATCGCCATGCCGCTGCAGTGGCAGTGGTGGTGGCCAGGCTCCCATGCACTGGGGGCTGCAGGTCAGGGCTCGGGAGGGGCTTTGGTCTTGGTGTTTTAAAAATAAGAGCTGAAGACAGCACTGGGGAGGGAGTTCAGGTCCAGCCCCTGGGGTCCTGTTTGGGGACCGATCTCATGGGGTGTTCGCCTTCAATTAGAGGGAGACCCTGCTGGTGTTGGGGACCCACCCCGAGCCCCTCTGCGCCTTTCCCTCCGGCCTGCTCCGCTCTGCTCTGTCTCGGCCTCTTTGTTTCTCTGCCTTTGTCTCCTTTCCTCCCTCCCTCTGCTCTCTGAAATTAAATGGGATCCAACTGCCAGCTCCCTGTGTGTTCCCGGCTTGCGGCTCAGCCCCTTTCATTATTAATAGAAATATGTCCTCATGGTGCAGCCTCACGCTGCTTATCTGGAGTGGATTAAGTGCTCACAGTGACATGTAGTATTGATTCCTCAGCATCCCCGTTCAAGGGGTTTTGCCTTGTCCTAATTAGTTCCATAAAATCAGTAGGGGAGGGGATGAGGGGTGAGGAGACCCTGGGTGGCAGGCAGCAGCCCGATGTGCCCTGTGACAACGGGTCGGCCCCTCTGTGCTGGGGGCTTGGACTGGGCCACTCTAGGAGGCGGAGGCTGAGAAGCGGTGGGAGCGGCCACCCCAGCCTGCAAAGGGCAGGACAGTGCTGTGGGTGAGGGTGGAGGCTCTGGAGCCCAATGCCAGGGTTTGAACCCACCCTACCTACCACTCACAGGCTGTGTCACATGGGCAAGTCCCTTAACTTCAACTTCACTGTCCCTCAGTTTCTCTTTCTTTCTTTCTCTTTCTCTTTCTTTCTTTCCTTCCTTCCTTCTTTCTTTCTCTTTCTTTCTTTCTTTCTTTCTTTCTCTTTCTTTCTTTCTTTCTTTTCTTTCTTTCTTTCTTTCTTTCTTTTCTTTCTTTCTTTCTCTTTCTTTCTTTTCTTTCTTTCTTCTTTCTTTCTTCCTTCCTTCCTTCTTTCTTTCTTTCTTTCTTTCTTTCTTTCTTTCTTTTTCTTTCTTTCTCTTTCTTTCTTTCT